AATGTGCGATATGGTCAGAAAACGATGCTAACACAGCTTTCCTTATATACATACACACATACATACACGTATATACATATATGCTCCTTTTTACATGAATGCTACAGAAATTTAATCCCATTTCCATTATTTTTTTTATGAAAAAAATATTTGACTGATTTGCCTTCTATGTACCTACACGGTGTGTTCTAAAAATAACCGAGCTTTATATTTAAATCATACAACATACAGCGCCATCTATTGAAAAATATACATTCATCCTCTTTCAAACGCACCTAAGATCATGTAAGTCGGATGACAGATGTAAAAGTGACAGCCATTTCAATAAAACCAAAAGTATGCTAATGGTTCAAAATTAAATGGAACAAAGAGCAAATATAAAATTTTGTGTCAAACTTGAAAAAAAAAATTAATGAAAAAAGTTTATTGTGATGATTGTATGAGTTGTACGCAAGTTTATACGTGGTTTATACGAATCAAAAATGATCGTGAGGATTTAAATGACGACCCTGGAGCAGGACGTCCAGAAACTAGTAATCGTGATGAACTGGTGGAAAAAGTCCGTGAAATCAAAATTTACTACGAAAATGTTGGCTGAGGAATTGAATACGAGTAAAAACACTTTTTGGAGAATTTTAAGTGAAGATTAGGGTAAAAGAAAGGTCTGTGCGCGATTTGTTCCACGTGAATTAAATGACGACCAAAAAATTTTAATGAAAAAAGGGATTTCTCTCATCGACCATCCTCCGTATTTGCTTGATCAATCACCATGTGACTATTTCTTGTTTCCAAAATTGAGAACCAAGATGAAGGGAGCATTTTATGATGATATCCCAGCCATTCAAGCAGCCGTAAACGAGGTACTGAAGAACATTTCTATAAATGACAAATGGCGCTGGTTGATCGTTCCAAACGTTGTGTTGAGTCAAATGGAACCTATTTTGAATAAATAACAACTTTCAAAGATAATATAATGTGTATCTTATTTTATATCCAAAAAGTTCGGTTATTTTTGGGACACACCGTGTATGTATGTCGGTCAGTTTGAGGATTGAAAATAATTACAAATTAGTCTTTTGAAAATCTCGTCATTTTAAAAGTTACATTATTTACAACTCTGCATGCAAAAATCTACGATTACATTTTTAATAATTAAAAAGTATGACAAGCTTAAAGCAATTTATATGTATGTAGTTATCAAAGCTATTGTTCATACATTCTTAATTTAGCTAACCCAATTAAGTTTCGGCAGCTCACAGTTTATTCAATTTTAGGCGTTACGTAGGTCTTGAAGGCAAAAAAAAGCTTATTTTCACTAATTCTTTTTTAAAAGATACTAAATAAAATATACATTTTATTTTATTTACATATAAAAGTACAATATGTGAACAACATTTAATGAAAATTTGAATGAAAAATAGGCGTTGGCAGTGTCGTGAAGTAGACCGTCCACAAGAAAGTGCTTTCGCGGTAGTCACGATAACTCAACTGAAATCTACAAACCAAATTTTTTTTTAAAAAAGGTGAATTTCCTTGTCCCTGAACCAAGAAAAGTTAAAAAAAAAATTAAAAATGAATATTTTGTAGCGTTTTTTTTTTACAAAATCATCATTTTTTGCATAAAATTTGGCCACATATTGGCTCGTAAAACGAGTTGAAATCAAAGATAAAAAAATCTTTCGTTCAGTGACTACAAAAATATGTTTAAAAAAAGTGTGGAAAATTTGAACTTGAAAACATCAATAGTCGTTGAGAAATTTTGACTACCGATTTCGATAAAGTGGTTTTAAGAAGAACGCGTTTCAAGTGGCGCCATGGGTCAAGCCACGGCAAAGACCAGCGGGTTATAAAACTCTCTAATTTCTACAGTTTCATCTCGATCGACTTGAAACTTCGCGAAAATATTCCTGACACTTTGTACTATTATACAAAAAAGGGATAAAAAAATGAATTTTTTGAAGTTTCAAGACCAATGTAACCACTTAATGGGTGATTAGGTAGTCCATGTGCAGCTTAAGAGGGCCTAAATATCTGTTTTGTAGCTGCCTTTGGTTTTCTTAACATCAACAAGTCTAAGACGTGTCCTACATTCAGCCTGAATAGAAACAGAGGAGATGTTTCAATAACTCTTTCCTGCCTACCTCCCTACACTTCCTACATATTTCACTGTTGTAATATTCAATAGTTCTTTCGAAAATGCGACCGAGGGCGTAGCTGTGTGTGATTTTCTTCTGATCTGATAATCGCCGATAATGCAGTTCATCACAACATGAACGGAAACTTCATTGTATAGCAACTTCAGCGAGCTTTGTATTTCATGTACAATCTCTTAATAAACAAATAACCGCTTTCCAATATCATAAATCCATATGCAGCTCGTTCCTTGCAGTCACTTTGTCCGCTGACCACCTAATTTAAGGACACTTTTGAAATGCGATGCGAGACTATTGCCTTACTTACCGCCTGTCTATCAATGTAAATATTGATATTTTTCATGTGCTTTCCTACCATGTAAGCAAGTTACTGAGGCCTCTCATACCGCAAAAACCTCCGCCTGGAAGACTGTTTCTGGAAATCAGCGTCGCCCGCAGTAGCTGATTAGTTAGCATTGCGTACTAACATTAGGAAAACCACAGCTCGACTCGAGCATCCACAGTGATAAAAGATTGATTTTTCTAATTGCCGTCACCCCTCGGTAGGGAAAGTCAAGCATTTATTTCTGACACGAAATAATAGCTCCTCGTAAAAATCCAACGGCCGTTCGGAGGCCCCGCCATTTTCTGGTATAACATCAAGCCAATTATATATAAATCAGCAGCTTGAAACCCAGTTCAGTGTCCTTGAAACCGGCAGCCTTTCCGTCAACCGTCCGTACGTGATTTTGTAAGCCATCCAATACTTCACTCTCTTTTGATGTGGCGTGAAACCCTATTTTACAAATAAAGCATGGTGGAATATGGTAGACTTTGCTGTAAGGTTTTAGTGTAAGGACAATTTTTTCTCATCTCCCCCTCCGCGTTGAGCTTTTGCAGCAGCTTGCTATTCAAAATTAACATTGGATACCAAGTACGCTGCGTAATTGTTAAGTCCACATAGTTCAGCCTCGGAGGTTTCAAATAATTAATATTTAGAAAAAAAATGGTGCAAAGGCTTCTCAAAGGTACCATTTAAGGACCTGGTTGAACAGTGTATTACAGGATATAAAAACCATTCATTTTTTTTGCAATAAATAAAGGCCCTGTGCTAAAAAGGGAGCTGCTAGTAAGTCACCATCGATGTGTGTGATCTGGTTTTTGTCTTGATCAAATACAATTCTGCTTATGTTGGCCAAAACTTAGCGCTTCTGAGCGATCGCTTCCTGTTTTCTTATGGTCCAATTGCTCATACCACAAGGTTCGAATTTAGAGTATGGCAGCAGAGGAGCAGCTCTTTAGAGACGATTCTTTGCCAATCCTACCAAACACACAACAAAATCTTTCTGGCCGTCTGTTTGTGCTGGCTCTCCGCCCTTGGACCACGATTGTTTTCATTTGACGTTGACCAACCGCTTCAGAAATTGGTCGACTTTGTTACGATTCCTTGAGGACGAGCTACATTTCTGTATACAGTTTTTTCAAGTGGTTCTAAATTATTTCTGTGCAATTATTAGGTCTTGGGCAATCGAAACAGTGCTCGCAGTGCGATGGTCAAAATCGTTGATTTCCATTATTATATCCACATTATTGACACTTGGTCTACCAGAACGTGGAGCAACTTTTACATCCAAATTACCTGGAACCAATTTGACCATAAGTACTATCCACATTCTCAGTTGCCTGACTTGAATTTTCGTTTTTATTGAAGAAAAATTGTAGAACATTTACAGCATATTTTCTCTTTGATAGGGTCCCTCTATGACATACGCTCTAACAGTAACGAGCTAAGAGATCAATACTTCTCCCGTAATCTTTTTGAGTACGAAATATCAACTTGCGTAATCCAATCGCACTTATATAGCTCGACATAAAGATCCCCAAAGCCATATATTGCAAAAATAATGTATGACCTTTTACTTGGCCTAATATAAAAACTCACTTTCGGAGAAACTCAAAATGTCTCCTAAGGGTAAAAATAGTGTAAATGCCCAGCATAAAATCGTCTTGGAAGAATAGTTCTTAACAAAATCTCGCAAGAGGTGGATGTGAAGTCATATGCAGAAAATTTTTTTTATGAAAAGCGACGGTTATTTGCAGTTTAAAATAATTTCAGTATTATTTTTTGTTCCGAATTTACTTTAAGTTACAAAATAAACAATTTTCTTTTGCCACACATTCGCACTATAATAAAGGTTGAAGGTTGAGCACATCCTTTCAACGGTTTTAAGTTTTTTTTTTGTTGCTGTTACTCCCATTCCACTCGAATATAAAATGGCCAGTTAATCAGCTAGTTAACGTTTAATTAACTCACTTTATGATACCCTCTCACAACCCAGTTCGCCCGCTCTTTTTCACTCTTTATTCACTTCATTATGCCTTCTTTGTAATATTATAAAATTGTTAAAATACAAACATTTCTATATATATACATATGTACATGAAATTGCGATTTATTTACTAGCCATTTACTTTATTTCCTTCGACTTTTGCCTTTTAATTTCTGATTTTCTTTAGCTTGTATCTTTGTGTAGCATTTTTTAATTTTCTTTCGTTATAACACTTTTTCCATATAGCTGTATGTATATATGTATTTTTTTTATTATGTTTGCATTACGTTTAGATGCACGTTTGCCACAATAGGAGGCTGCTTCATAAACTACAATCATTTATACATATATTTGGTATATATGTATATATGCAAGCTGACGACCGGCTCTACGCATTGTATTTAAAAAAAAAAAGTTATCTTTTTGTTGTGTAAGTAATTTTATATATGAAATTGAATGCACCCTTTAAAATATCCTTTCATAAACTTTGCCCTTTTTTACGTTATCATTTTCGTGCCGTATGTATGTTTGTACTTACGCTTCTTGCATTTCTTTTGCATAGTTCTGGTTGCCAAGCAGGTCGATTCGCCTTTCTTGAGCGTCAAAGTGCGTGTGCGTACATTAGTTTTGGGATCGCAATCGGTCCAAGCGCCTTTCGAGTAACGACAACTAGACTCTACAAAATAAAAAATAAAAACAAAATTAAAACAAAAATAAATCAATGAAAATATAAAGAAAAAAATACAAAATAAAATATTAAAATAAATAACTTGAATTATAAGAATATATCTACAACAAATATCCATAAACTTGAAAAAGAAATAAAATAAAAATGAAAACATGAAAGCATTGAAAAAATATAAAACTTAAAAAGAAATGCTTAGTGAAATTCTACCAAAGCTCACTTCATCTAAGCTAAAGTGTATATACATGAAATACTCGATTAACTCCATCTACATTTGATATAGTAGTTTTTAATACTTAAAAATAACCTTCAGACACATAATTTATAAATCGACAATTAATTTAACGCACTTTTCACATAAGATGATATTAAAAAAATTAAAAGCATTAAAAAAAGTAAAAATAATAAATAAATAAAACTAATTTGATCTAAGTATATAAGTATCTACTTTGTTTTATTATCGAAATACATAATTGGAAGTAACTAAAGGTTTGTACTGAATTTTATAGGGAAAATAAGGCAGGTTACGTATACGCACTGTTGAACAAATAATATTCATGTTAGCATAAAGAAAGTTTTAATATAAATAAATATTAATTTTGTAGTTTTCCTTTAATAAATTATTCAGTTTCACTACTTTTAAAAAATATTTAAACTATTAAAACCAAAAATCGAGTAAGTCTACTTTAAGGAAATTAGAATGTTTTTCTAATTATTTATTCGGTATTTAAGAGTTTAAAAAAATATTTTAGCTGCTTTAAACGAAAAAAAATATTGTTAATAAAAAATATATATTAGATTTATATGAAAAAATATAAAGAAAAAATATGTTGAGAAATTCGCCAAAAAAAAAATGAGATTTTTCAGCGAATAAAGTTAACTTTGTATAATCTAAAAACCTTTTTGAAATAACTATGGACTCCAGAAGCATATTTTGCATGGTATTTTAAGATTGATCATACATATGAATTTTTACCAAGCAAATTGATCTACTAGAAAGTTTGCCGCATGGCAATCTATGTGCCGTTAGCCAAATACATCGAACCTGATTTTTTCGATTGTATCGATTACTGGTACACTTCCCATAAAGAAAATTTTCCCAAGTCTTAAGCCATGCAAAAAGCCAAACTTGAAGTAAATGAAACCAAACCCCCAATTTTTCCGAACACATGTGACTCGGGTCCACTTCGCTGACAGAAAAGCTATTTACATATTAATTTAGGCAAGGAGCCAACAATGTTCCAATATTAGGCAAATCGGTTCACAAAAACGATTTTTCTAAATATGTCAAACACATGACGACTTTCCGGAAGAAAAAGTATTCCCTATAGTAATTTACGTGAAAAACATGCTATGTACCAAATTTCATCAAATTTCATGTAATTCTAACAATTTGAATGTTTCGAATTGATCGGCCGCAGGCCCACTTCCCGAGAAATCATTTCTCATTGGATAAGAAAACTTCTACAAACAGTGGTTTAGGCTGTCGGTTGACACGCCAGTCATTTACGACCTGGCTTTTCATATACATACATATATAGATAAGAAAAAATATAAGTATATTGAAATTAATTAATTAAAATAAATATAATAGGCGATAATAAAAGAAAAAACATGGAATATTTGCTATTCCTACTCCACGTGGTCTAGCTACCATTTTATGCAATGAACTATGACACTGTCATTGTCGCGGTCGCGATTGGTGTTCGGCGCTGCTAACTGTCATTCGGAAGACTTGGGTTCAAATACTCGTTCGACCAACATCCAAAGGTTATGCAAAATTAATTTAAATAAAAAATTAAGTTAAATTTTCTAATTGCGGTCGGCCCTGCGCAGAGAATGTCAATCTATACGAGTGTTTTTATGATATGAAATAAAGGCTCCTCATATACAAACAGCAGCTGTTCGAAGGCGGCTTAGTATAAACTGTAGATGCCTCCATTTGTTGGAAAAACATCAAGACGTAAAGCAACCAATTGTAAGAAATCGCTTCAGCGTTTGCAAAGCGGTCATTATACATATGTACATGTCACTGTCATTGCATATCTCATACAGTCACATCATCGTCTGTGATAGGTACCAGCATACGCCTGAAGTTACACGCTCTTTCTAGAAGTTTGTATCTACACTAATTTGCTCTGCAACTCTTATATTATTTTCTCTTATTATTTTAAAGAAGGCACTGTTGAACAGCTCGGTGTGCTCCTTTCCGACCCTGACAGGGTTTTTGGTGTTATTTTGCATTAGTTTATACAGCGACGAAGAGTTGGTGTGTTTCGATCGGTTTTTCACAGTTTTTTTCCGTGATTTGACGCATGATTAATATGTGGTTAATTTTGGGTTTACCGGGATCAAAGTAACTCTGGTAAGATACAATAATTTTATTGACAATGAGCTCTAAGGTTTAAGTCAATACTTCCGATAAGTTCTTATATGTGCAACATTTTTGTGGACTTGGCAGAGCGCACACTTATGAAAATTGTAAGTCTATATTTTTTTAGCGACAAACCCAGCGCTACCTACCTTCCGCCCAACCGAACGCGGGGCGCGTCTGAGGGATAATCGAAAAATCCAACAGATTAGTGACCGAAAATCAGTAACAGTCCGGACTGCGCTGAACGCGAAACCGATCGCGGAAAGGTCGTGGTTACACTTTTTTCTCACACTAAACAGCAACAGATTTGTTCAGCAGCTGCTATAAATTTTTATGGGAAATAATATAATAACAATATAACTTAATTTTAGTTGTTTAATTTATATAAACACGATATTTTGGAGTTTTAAATTCAATTTTTTTAATAAAATTTTTGTAAAAATATATTTTAGTTTATTAATTAACTTATATTATTATTATATTATTTTCTATAAAAATTAACTTTTATTAACTAAATGTTTTCTTTTTAATGTTTTAAAGCAGAAATTGCAAAATCTTTGAAAACTTGTCAACGTACGAGTAATTTGTTTTTGTTTAAAATAACCTCAAAAGCCTCAGGAAATATAGTAAAATATTTGTTGAGTTTGATTTTTTTTTAAAGAAAAGTCATTATAACTGCCTTTCAGCTGCTTATTTTACAAGCAACTCTTTAGTTTTTCTTACTTTCAGTCTTACTCTTTTGGCCAGCCATGCAATTTCAAATTAAGGCAATATGGCTTCCGGCATTTCCTTGAAATTGAATTTAACATTTGAAATACTTTACAAAGTTTTAAAGTAAGAGCAGCATTATATATAAATATATAGCCATATACATGTTGCCTATATACTATATACATGTATGTACATACTTTGGTAACCTTTGCACAGCAAGAGTTACTTGACATCTGTCTCTCTTTAAATTCATGACCTTTGAACTTATATACTTCAATGCTCAGCTGTGTATGTAATCTGGCAATGAACTAAACAAACATAAATACGAGTATATATTATATATGTATATCTATCCTCGATTGCATACATACATATATATATATGTTGGTATTAAGTTAAGCTGTATCATGCTGATGGCTTTTTTTGCCCAACTTTCTTTCTCAGTTGGCAAATGATTTGCAAATTGGCTTTAACTGTGCACAAAAACCCACAAAAATTCATCAACTCATGTCATTGCAATGTCGACCGCAGGAGCCCACTGTGTACAACTTGAATATATGCTTATGTTGCACACTTTTTATTTACTACAATTTGCGGATATGAAAGAGATATGAAGAGACAAAGAGATTATATATATGTATGTTATATATGTAACTGCTAAAGCGATTTTCGGCCGAGCTCCTCCTCCAATTGGTGATGTGCCTAATGATGTTCCTTCAATAAATGGAGAGACCTGAAGTTTATACTAATCCGCCTACGAAACTTTCATTTCATATCAGAAATACACTAGGAGAGGATGAACATTCCTTGACTAGGAAGAAGTTTAATTTTGGATGTAGGTGGAATCAGTATTTGAACCCAAATCTGCCGAATGGCAGTACGCAATGCAAACCACTCGGCTATTGCCGACGCCAAGAAGTTTAAACTGGGAATTAAGCTGGTTTTATTTTGTTAAAAAGAATTATAAGTTTTCTAGCCATGCAGATATACTCAAAGAAACCCTTGGATGTGCTCGAATCGGAAATAATATAAATACTAAGCGAACTGAGTGTTTTTCCCAATTAGTTTCTTTTTTAGAAATCTATAACTGATCCAAACTAACTTTCATTAACAGATTCAAAGGGTCTCGCAAAAATCTAATGTTTAAAGTGTGGCCTGCTTCTGGCAAGATCTGAATGGAACTCATGCGGTCGCTCCTATAAAATATTGAACTCTAATTTGTCTCATTTAAATATTTGCTCGCCATATCTAGAACAAATGTCTCATTCATTCCGGGATATTTAATATTCTAGTTAAATTTCAATCCGATACTCAATATTTTATTCTCCTCTTTGCTCTACAAAGATTATGATCTCTTCAATTGTCTCTGAGAACACTCATCAATACTCGTCATAAGAAAACCTTGGAACGGCTCCTGCGTAAAGCTGCGAATTGAGCTATTGTTTTTCGATAAGGTCGGAAGAAGAACTTCGTTAATGGGGAAATCGTTGATAGCTTATTGAAAAGCGGAGAGAAAAAATATTGAATTGAAACACCTTATAATGTTATAATCGACTGAAACGACCGCTGCGCGGAAAAGATATCGACGCGTGAGAGGGAAGTGAGACGCATTTTCAGATAGAAAGAGAGGGATACGTGAGTGAGGGGAGAGTGAGCTTAAGAAGCTAACCGACAAAGGTAATGCTCCAAAAATCTAAAATTTGGTGACTTCCTTCATGTAAGACGTGCTCTGGTGACCAACGGCTACAGCGTATTAAGTTTGTGGAGCCAATGCAGCCCTAGCGTTTGGAATTCTCCTTTGCAATGAGTAGGTAGTTAGAAATAAAGGCTTCTTCCGATGAAAAACACCAAAGTCTATAGCTCTCATATTATTTTCGTCTATCTAGATTGTATAGCGCCTAGATGA